AGGGGTGGATGACATTTGAGGAGGTTTTCGCTGAAATTGAAAAATTCAAAATTTTTGAAAAAGTATCAGGGGAGCATGACAATTGAGGAGGTATTCACCGAAATTGAAAAATTCAAAATTTTTGAAAAAGTATCAGGGGAGCATGACAATTGAGGAGGTATTCACCGAAATTGAAAAATTCATAATTTTCAAAAAAGTATCAGGGGAGCTTGAAAATAGAGGAGGTCATCACTGAAATTGAAAAATTTTAAATTTTCATTAAATAAAATTCACCCAGTCGATTGGTCCCTCTGACAGCGGGTCTGCTATTGAGGCAGTTACCGAGTCGGCTGACGGGCAGACAACCCCATTGCGTGTGGCGCCCTCTCTCACAAACCCCCAGAACTGAGCCTCTACTTTAGTTAATCCTCATTGGGTCGAGGTCTGCCACAGGTAGTTAGCAAAACATCGGGCATTTGAATACCGACCTCAGGTTAGGGAGGGATCATTCATTTTTTTTTTTAAATTTTGGGTCCTTAAAACCCTTGGGGGTTTTAACAGTTGGTCCCCTGGCCCGGGGAAGCAAGGGAACAACCTTTTCCCCAAATGAAACGCAATTGCCCCAAGGCCAAAGGAAACCATGGTAAAATTCAACCGTTTAATTGAGACAGAAATTGAAATAATGAATTATATGAAAACTTGTATTGCACACATCTTCGATTCGACCGTTTTTTCTCGATCTCTATCTCCGGGGCACTTCAAAACACTCCTGCAAACGTTTGAATACTGGCCACCCATCCCGACCCTTTATCTATCCTAAATCTATAAAAATTTGGAGAACAAAGCATATGTATTTTAACAAATGAAACATCTTTTGTTTGATTTTTTTTTCTGTATTTGTAACCGTTTGCGAAACACAGTCTTAAATTCTTCTTGAGACGGAACAAACAGGATTTCATTGGTCGAAAGATCGAGTACCCAAATGTTCAAGTGTTTCCCATACGAACAATATTTGAAAATTTTCCGGATGCCATAAGAAAATACTCACCATTTGCGAAAACAGCAATGAAATTATCAAAAATTAACAATGTACAAGGCTTCTTTATTGAGAAGAAAATCGAATCATAACTTTAAATAAAACTGTCCCACCAGCGAAAATATCGGTAGGACAGTGAAGTTCTCGAAGAAGAGCTACGTAAAAATGCGATAATGTTGAAGTCTCCTGTTTCGATCTCAAAAGGAGGATCGAAAGCCAATCTAGCCGATATTAACTCCTTCACGATATCCCTTCAGCTGAAACGAATCGACAGTAATCCAGCACTTGCCTCACCAGAGTCACCATATATATAAGAAAAAAGGGACAGAGATTGGGACAGAATCAATGCAATAATGAAAAGAAAATCAGACCATCCACCTAACTTTGAAAAATTAAAAAAAAATCTTTATCGGGCAGGAAAAATATTATAAGGCTGAGGAGTAGTTTACTAACAAGTTACAGCGCAAATCTCATAAATCAATGTGCGATGGTGTTTGATGTAATACTTGCAAGAAATTTTGTCGTCCCGATAACGACTGATAATCACATACATGGAGTGTCCAGTATCGAATGTGATTAGTTGATCCCCTTCTCCAAGGCATGTACAAGATTATAAAAAATTTGGCGTCGGAGGAAACTTTGTTTTCCCCACAACAGTGTTGTGACAATTGTTGGCATCATGACACCGAAAGAAACTCCTTCCGTCTCGAGATTGTCAGGTCTATTATCCTTTAACCAAGTTTATAATTTTGAACGATTCCTTTTTATCGTCTACATCGTTATCATTCTGTCGGATTTAATCTATGTTATAACTGGTAATTAATAATTGCAGATGGTTCAATAAGGGATAAACAAGCTAGTGAATTGGAGAATGAGGTAAAGAAAGAGAATAATTGTAGTTCTACAAATAAGTATAATTATCGTTGCTCATGAGTTAGCGCTGGGCTGATCACTCCAATTAATTCAGAAAAATTTATTTGTTGTAAAACCTATGCACTTACGGACTGAATGAGAAAAAATATTGTTCGTTAACATGACGGAACAGTTATGCACTTTTTTCACTGAACCTTCCAGACTTTTTCCTGAAAATTCAGGAATTACTTAATACTGAATACTGTTTTGAGTAGCAGATTACGGAAGAAACACGTCCTTTTTATTGAATAATTCTCTCCGTACACTGGGCCGAGGAGAACTTTCTGAGGATTGTGTTTACATTCCTCGCCTTCGCCTTGGCTTGTAACAATTAAAACAATTGTCAAAAAAGTTCCCATCGGCCTAGTAATGAAATATACCATATTTTTATTGCCAGTAACATTCTTGTAACAGGAACTTTGATAGAAAATCTACTATATATTATAGACATGCGATTCGCCATTATATCATGCTCACATTAAGTCGATCATCATTTCCATATAGCAATTCAAAAAATCCTGTATCGATCTACTCCATTCAATACGACGAGACTAAGATCGGATTTTTAGAAAGTTTAGAAATATCTGTTTTTATTCAAGAGAGAAGTTATTAATTCTTTTTCTTTTAGCGCATTTTTTTCTCCGGACGCGCATTCGTTCGAAATGTTTGAGATTTAGCGACGACGTCGTGGTGACGTGTCCATTTTGTCTTGTAGGTCTTGCCCTTACGATCATTCGACATATTTCGAGAATTCCGAGATATTTCGAGGACTCGACTTTCCTTCCCCTTTTTATACTAGGATAAATCTGATGGTATGTTGAATTTAATGTGCAATAAATTCTACACCATCCAATTAATCTAATATATAAAAAATAAGAAACCGAATTTTGAAGAATTACGAAATTTCAGTTCTCAAGGAAAATTTTAATTTTTATGTCCCAGTAATGCAAGGCCCAAGTTCCACTTCAGCGAGTAGAAATTGAGAACCCTGAATTCAAGCTATAATAGTTGCGTGCTGACCATCGTTATTACTATTAATCAATAAAAAAAATAGGAAAATAGTTGGTAATAAGAGCGGAACCACAATATTTGCGCGAAATCGATTATTTTTATG